GATTAACAAAAACCTAAAAAAAAAAAAAAAAATATTAGATACATTCTATATATTAGAATTTTGTAATATTGTACCATTCGTTGAGTTTTTACAAATTCTATTTTCAAAATATTGAAGAGAACTTATTTTTTATAAATATCAAAAAGTGATCAAACAAATCATTTTTCAGCCCAGTGATACCATTCAACAACCAACCATAGATCACTTTACTTTACCTAAATTGAAATCCAATTGTCCCTGAAACAACAGAAACTCGTTGAATAGAAATAAATAGCTTATTAAAGTTTGTAGAATTTACTGAACGATCGAATTAACATTTCCACGCCACGATATTGGATCGATCGAAACGAGATTCTCGAGGATTAATCGATCGATCGCCATAGAACGTTGGCCACAGAAAAGGGCCGTCATTCTGGCGGGAAAGCGGCACGAGATCCGTTTTAATTAAAATCGTAGCGTAACGTAATTTAGGTGCCCTCCAGCCAGCCAACGCGGTTGTTCTCCTTCATGAACCCGTTGGCCGTTGAGATCTGGCTGTACGTGCTGGCCGCGTACATGCTTGTGAGCTTCACCCTCTTCGTTATGGCTCGATTCAGCCCGTACGAGTGGAACAATCCACACCCGTGCCTGGGGGAGAGCGACATCGTCGAGAACCAGTTTAGCGTCAGCAACAGCTTCTGGTTTATTACCGGCACGTTCCTCAGGCAGGGCAGCGGGCTCAACCCCAAGGTACACTCAACGAGGTGCTCCGCCACTGGACTATTTCTGCCGTTCAATTTCAGTCGTCGTGTCACGATCCAAAAATCCTTAAATCCTGATCCTTATCTCGACCCTTTCGACTCTTCACGAGACGAGAGTTTTTGAATTTTTAGAGATCTCTTTGGAATCGATTCTTTGGATTCTTGTGCAGTGAATACTTGTGATTTTCTGTAACACAATATGTATCTTGTGTTATTTTGTTGTTCTTTTTTTGAGTAAATCTGAGAGATATAATTTTAGTTATAAATTATAAGTTTGGTTTAATATTTATTCTTAAAAAAGAAAGACAAATTTAATTGAGGAAACTTGAAAGGGTTGAAAGGGTTAATATTTAATTCATAAACGTTTCTCTGGACTTTATATAAGATGCCTGAGAAAGATATACTCAGAGGGTGATTTTATATGTAAAAATAAAATCAAATGAAATTTTTTCATTTAAGATCTCATTTATTGAAATTTTTCAAGTAGAAATGAGTTTGGCAAATTTTCAATTGGAAAATACAGGAGAGAAAAATGTAGAATAAAATTTTTTCATTTAAAATCTAATATTCGAGAAAATTGAATTTAGAAATTCATCAAATACAAGACTGCACGTACTGCACGCATATCGAATTTCGATTATCTCGAAAATCGAACGGGGATAAAATTTTATGAAATTATTTTCGGATTTAAATTTTTTTTTACACATAGAATCACTCTCCGTTTACCATCCCGTTTCTAAGACACTTTACGCAAAAAACTCTATCCTCTATTTCCTTTCAAAATTCGAAAATCGTAAGCAGAATAAAATAAAAAACCGTACAAAAGAAAAAAGAAATCAGAAGCTGTCGCGTCTGGAAACAGATTGTCGTCGCCATAGTCCCACTGATCGCAATCTCAATTCGTAACAATCGACGCGAGATGAGCCGCGAATCGCGAGTTCCAAATCCTTCGGTATCGCAACCCAAAACGCGATGATTCGCGTTCCACTTTTATCCGATGACTGAAACCACCAAAAGAAAAAAGAGAGGAAACGAAAGGATAAAGGAACTCGTCTAACGGTTGAACTTCAACGCTGTGTACTACTGAAACCTACTGGCTATTGTGCTCGGTGGCTCCTGACAGGCCGAAGAATAGACTACGGAATCCGTGATTTCAACGAGAGATAAAGGATCCGTCTTGCGCGCGCCATTCACAAAACTGGCAAAGGAAAGCACGAAACTGTTATCCTTGATTTGCGTGGAAAAAAGAGAAAGAGAGAGAGAGAGAGGGTGGGGAAAAAAGCGAGGGAAATGGGGAGAAATTCAGTGGAGAAGAAAATGGATTGGGTTTTTTCCTGGCGAAAAATCGAGAGAGAGAGGTTTAGGGGATTAGTAATCCGGAAATACGTGTAATTGCTGCAGGTTTCCGCTCGAACGCCGTCGAGGCTGTTCTCGTTCATGAATCCTCTCGCCGTGGAGATTTGGTTATCCATGCTGGGCGCTTACGTGATGGTCTCCCTAACGATTTGGATAGTGGCGAGGTTCTCGCCTTACGAGTGGGTGGAACCTACACCCTGTCCGAGCTGCAAATGTCCGCTACAGGTAGGCTCTCGTCAGGTGGTGCCTAATCGATCGTGCAATTGAATTCTTGACAGGGTGAAAAGGTGTCGTGAACGATATCGACACGCTTTCGATTGTTTTTTTTAAATTACTTGCGAAAAGTTATTTTTAATTTTTTAAAAATTGAACAAAAAACCGAGACAAAAATTGTACCCAATTTTTTGCAAATATTCGCGATCGTTTCGCGATTATCGTTAAAAATAAATCGATACTGCGATAAGAGAATTGAAAATGTTTAAATTGCGAAATATTCGCGAAATATTCACGATCCTTGGACCCGCATTGTTAATAATTGGGTTAGCTACATACGGATAGCTTGTGTAATTGTCCTTGAAATTTCGCACCACTTGGCGGGGGTCCCAATGTGATCAGGGTGGTCACGTGAGCGCGTTGGATCCTGACAGCGACGACATTCCTCTGCTGAGGACGGTCAACGAGTTCACCCTGGCCAACAGCTTCTGGTTTACGGTCGGCACGCTTATGCAACAGGGCAGCGACCTCAACCCCAAGGTAAACGTGTCATCACAGAGTCCGGCAGCCAATTACTTAAACGAGTGATGCGCTTCGAAGCTTACAATGTTTGGAAACTCGTTGGACATCTGTCGCAATTTCGTGAATATATATGTATATAGGGGGAGAAATCGTAAAATATACAAATTTTACGATTTTTACACGGGAACAATTTAATGATAATATCGAAAATCAACGAATGAAAATATTCAGAATGATTGATTGTTAAAATGCGGACAGATGAATATATTATGTTTTTCTTTTCTGTCGATTTGCATCATATATTAATATTATAAACAAATTTAATCATATCCTGAATAAAATTTTGCAAAAATTCTGAATAGTACATTCGCAGAAGTATCTTATCTGTAAATATATATATTTTAACATGCAAATTAAATTTTTCGATAAACGAAGCCAATTTCATCAGGAAACTTTAAACAAATTATTATTATACATTTACATAAATTATAATAATTTTGGCATATTTTTCTATATGCCAATTTCAGTATTTTAATATTTTTTAAACTCATAGAAACTCATGGTCTGATGATTTTATTAAATCTATAAATATTCGAGATTGATTTTTAATTTAAAATCAAATAAGTTACAACGTCTCTTTCGAGGAAAGATTTATGATATTACGAATCTATAAAGTAACTTATGCCACAGTAACGACATTATCCAAAGTAAGGGTAATCGTTTTAAATGAACTCGTGAAATTCATTATTGTCATAAAGTGTGATAGACTCGTAACTATGGATTGATCATAGAAAATTTAATCCATTTTATTTGCAAAACGATTACATTTCTTTTTATTATTCTATAAAGAAGATTTCAAGATTGTTGTTTAACTTAAAAACAAGTTACGAAAAATAGAGAGTTTGGAATTTCGATGTTTCATTAATTTTTCGACGATTTTCTGGAAAATTAGGAAAGTAATCTCAGTTCCAAGAACTGTAGTACACGATTCAAATCGTAAAATGCGATGGATGAAAATCCAACGAGTTTCTGAATGTTCGAGAAACGACTTATAAACCGTGGAAACCGTTTCAAGCACCATATGAGTACATCGTGCACTGAATCTGAAAAAATACAACAAGATGAGAAAATTTTACCAGATATGTTCGCTTAGATAATTCGTAGATAAAATTGAAGAATTTTCACTATTGGTATTTGTCTGATATCTCTTCGAAATATCAAATTTCACGTGGAAAAATAAAAAGAAAAATATGCATCAGTCATTCTAAATATGCAGGATGTTTCGTTCGATTGGAAAATATTTCAGGAAGCAAGTACATAAAAACGAATAAAAAGAGGATAAACAAGTGTATTTATTTATTTAAAGGAATATTTATCTCATATTTCAATATTTCCACTATTACCTTTTGATACTATTCAAATTTGCAGACACATTTTTTTACCAAAATATTTCATCGTATTTAACATTTACCTTTCAATATTTTCAATATTGTCATCTCTCAAATTCTCAACACAACGATATATCGCGAAGATATAATATAACAAAAAAAATAATACTTTAAAAATATCGTGCAATATTTGTTCTCATTTTTCTTCATTATACACGTTCCTGAAATATTTCCCTTTCGTCACATCTCTGTATCTCTCCAAATATCGAAACAAAATCTTACGTAGACGAAAGATCTTCATCGAGTAGCATAGAATAGAATAGCATCGCCACTCTCAAATCAAATTAATTGCATTATAGATAAATCTCGATAGACAGAGAACGATATCGAGAGATCGCATGTCACCCCTGCATGCACATGACAAAAGCCAAACATCTTTGCATTTCATTTGTCTCATTTTCGTTACATCTCTTCGATTTCTCTTCTCAAACAACCAAGAACATCCATTTAGAATCCGATTTCCAAAAGAACTTTTCCAAAAGATTGACTTGCGCGCTTAAGAAGCGTTCACAATCGGCACGAAACTTTTTCACACCGAGCTACGTGCAACTATGATGGCGTAAAATTCAACTCGACAAAACTTCTTTTGCTCGAGATTTTTCCCATGTGCTCTTTCGAGAAATCTTCCTGATATTTCGCGAAAGAAATTCTCGTGGAATCTTCTGTCTCGTTTCTATCTCGTGCACGAAATCTTGTTACATCAACAAGATGCGTAAATAGAGATAGAACGATCCGAAAAACAAAATCCCTCTGTTTTATTCGCCGCCATTGCGGACGGCCGGAAATTGTGCCCATTTAACGCGTTACTACCTCGTCCGGCGATAAAAATAAACCAGGACACAAATGAAACTGCATGTAATCGGAATTTATGAAGTTACACTCTGTAAGGTTGAAATGCTTTATAGGGAGTAAATTGAAAATTTCATTCGATGCAATAAAGATATGTATGATTTATGATGCGGTGCACATCGTTTCAATGGACATCTGGTATAACAGAGTTATTCCAACGAAACAAATATACAGTTGTAATACAATACACAGATTAATTTCACGAAATTCATTCTTAGAGCGTAGTCCATTCTCTCATTACTTTTCACGAGTAAAAAATTATAATTGCTTAATTGATAATGCGCTTAGGAATTCACTTCAAATCTTCTTCGATTTCTTACTATTTTCCACATATGAAACTGTAAGCAAATAATTTTCAAATTATTCGATGTAATTTAGAGTCTTTTTTTTATTATTATCTTTCACAAATATTATACATTTTACAACTTCTTTGATTTTCAACTCTTATTTTTCACTGAATGAAACTATAAGGAAGAAGAATTTCGTTCTCTGGTAATATATTTATCATAAACTTTTCTTATGTTTAGCAGCAAACAATAAGTATTAATGTTTTGTTACGAGAATATACTTGTACGACATATGGTGGTAGCCGGCTCTGATGGCATGTATGTACATGCGGGGTTGTCGTTGCGAAATTCGCGAAGAATGGCGATTCTACGACTCGAAGAATCCCAGATATCCGCGTAAAGAGCTGGGGATTCGAGAGTGCTGTGAAAATACAGAGAGAGAGAAAATCGCGAGGAAACGAGGGTTGCGCAAAAATATCGCTTGAAACTTATCGTTCGAGAGAGATTTTCCGGGTCGTATCGGGCTATGATACACGCGCGAAAAAGGAAATAGAGCAACATAATCCTCGATTCGTGGCATATTTGCTTTAACACGAGAGTCTGACGATATGAACAAATATCAAAGAGACGGGCAATTCCTTTTCTGCAGTAGCACACTGAAAGCATAGATATGTATACAATTAATTCTAAAATTGGATTTTTCTTCTTAGAAAAAAAGAATTAACAGTAAAAAGTAATAAGAGCCAGTTGAAAAAGTATCGATACCTTATAACGAAATTTATTCGAAATATGAAAATTCTAATTTTAATAAAAATTTATGTATACATTAATCATAATAAATTATGCATTAATATTGCATTTGTAAAGTCTTTTTTCAATAGAATTTTATATTATATGCGTATAAATCATTATATTCTACATACGCATACAAAGTTTCATTAAAAAAAGAATTTTCATTGATTTTTAATAACAATCGCGTTAAATTACGTATGAAGATTTTTTTCTTTTTATTCATAAAATATACCAAGATATGTCAAATCTCTTGTATCCTTATTCCATTATTCTTCTTGCGATAACGTCAAAGGTATTCATAAATATATCGTTGGAAACGTTTCACCTCCTCGAGACTGTACCACTCAACGTCTGAGAAAGGCTGTGGTATTTTATCATCCACTCGTAGGATGTATGGCAATTTGAACAACGCCATTCGTTTCGTGGATAAAGAGAGGGATGATGAAATTATTCGGAAATGTCTCGAGCCGATAATCGCTTCCGTGATCGACTTGCTTCCACGGCTAATGGGTCGAAATATGCCATTAACGGGTTGAAGGGTAGGGTGCAAATGAGACCGCATATTGCATTCTTTGGGCGGAACGTAGTGGAGGTGCTCTTAAATCGTCTCCCGACCTCGATGCTCCACTGACGCGGTTTCAATTGATCGTCGAGGCTTTTCATGGGCTTCCAACCACGAAGATGTGATATCAGGTCGATATTCGCGAAGAAAACTGACGTGAACCCCTTTTGATAATATACTTGATCCTCTTGATTATATCATGTTACGTTCCATGAATTTTTAATACTTTATTCGTATCGTTTTACTATATCTGAAACAATACAAAATATGTTTTAGGAAAAATGTTTTTAACAAAAATTTTAATCAGTTTTTTGCGAATAGATATGTAGAGATTATACGAAGGTAGCTTTTCCTCTCTTTGGATCATGTAATTTTTAATATACAATACATATAACAATTATCTAATATTCGTGAAAATTTTAGAAAATAATATCCTGTAAATATTAAATAACATTCAGGAATAAAGCTCGTTTCGAATAAAAATGAAGAAAATTCTAATTTTCATCAGATCGAACGATCTTTGAGAAGGAATTGCTCGTTAAAGTGTTAAAGTATCGTTTTCCTTTAATGAAAAGGTATCCATCGTAATTATCAGGCAACAAGCACGAGAATAGTTGGTGGAATCTGGTGGTTCTTCACATTGATCATCATCTCATCTTACACGGCAAATCTGGCTGCGTTCCTCACCGTCGAGAGAATGATCACGCCGATCGAGAACGCAGCTGATCTCGCTGAACAAACGCAAATCTCGTATGGAACGTTAGAGGGTGGAAGTACAATGACGTTTTTCAGGGTAAGTACCTGAAATTTTATTAAATTATTTAATATATACGATCGATAATATATTGTCAATACTTTTTAATTACAATTCAATATTATATCTGGATGACTACAATAAAAATTATAGGATTTAGAATATGATTAATATTATCTTAGAGGAAGAGTGTTAGAAAAGCTGCAATCTGGACGGTGAAGCAAAATAATAAAACTTTTTGTGTTAAAACTTAGTTAAGTTGAAAAAGTTAATCTCGAAAAATGGTGTAATACTCTATGTGTACAAACTAAGAATATTTTCAGGATATTTCTTTTTAGAGAAAATACAGAATAAAGTAAAAAAATTTGAAACTATTTTAAACTTGTACATTTCATTAGGAATTAGAGTATATATTTTATAATAATTATCAAATTAAACTATCAAATTGAAGTACACAGATATTATTAAATTCAAAGAATACATAATATTAAAAAAGATCTGTATTTCCATTTTTTTGAATTAATCTCTATTCTTCGAATTAATAAAACAATAAGTTACTCGATTAAAAAATTTTAAAATGAGAATATGAGATTAAAACTATTAATAACTAGCACAATAAAATTATTTTCTGTTTACAACATAATAAATTAATCCATTTTGCACCTCAATCACTTTTGATTGAACATATAAATCCAAATTTATTAATATTAATTAACGTTTTGATATTGCGTGACCATTGACAGTCATTTTATTAAACACGATAATTTTCATTCGCATTCGATTCATGTCTTACGAATAATTCTCCAGCAGGGGATCCTGCGCGCGAAATATTAAAACCATAAAGCTAATCGTAATCCGGGACAAATTCGGCTAATTATCACAGTTTTCATTCGAAAGGTATCGAAATCCGTTGAATGTCTACCATTTAATGCGGACTTTTAACATTATTAAATTTTGGAACGGCATTTCACCAATGTTCAGGTATTCCTATAATATTAATACCGCGTTATTGAAACAACATTTCGCACCCCATCCCCGCTATTACAGATTTATTCTCAGGACGAGGTGGAGTTCGTTATTGCTGAACTCGTTCCAACCAGTTTACGAACAATTGGAAACTGGAGGAAAATTCGAGAGTGCACCCTTTGTTCTCTCCTCACTGTTTCTCGCGTGAATTTACAACAATCCGATTGAAAAATATATAAATATAATATGAATATATACCTGAACGAAGAAGACTGGTTATTGTGATTCTGTGTTTGATTAATTCGAACGAAATTAAATTCCTTTTGATCGATTTCAATTTAAATTCGAGTTTGATCGATTGTTACAAAATGATGAAAAGGAACGAATATATTACAGAAAATGCGAATTGCATTGTTTCAAAGGTCTTTGATAATCGATGAAATTTGTAATTATGTATAATCGGAAAATATGATATATAATATGATTAAAATATTTTTTTCTTCAAAGTAATTCCATCACTTTTTTTTTTATCTAAATAAAAGATATTTTTTTCTTGAATTCTAAAAAGTGTATTAACGAGATAGGACTCGAAGATCGGTATATACAAGAAGATGTGGGAGTTCATGGAGTCGAAATCGCCCTCGGTTTTCGTGAAAAGCTACGAAGATGGGGTGAAGAGGGTGCTCGAGGGTGACTACGCTTTCCTGATGGAGTCGACAATGCTCGATTATGCTGTACAACGAGATTGCAATCTCACGCAAATCGGGGGCCTGTTGGACAGCAAAGGCTATGGAATTGCCACTCCGAAAGGTAATTTCGAATAACAATTGGTATCTGTTCCCATTGTTCTATCTTTTCCTTTTTCTGTTAAGATATAAATCCATTTAAGAGTATCTCCTTCGCAAATGAAAGATTGAAAAACACTTGCAGATCTCTAGAGATCTCTTACTCTTTTCTACCATAATAATTATTCAATTCAAGATTATTTCAATTTATTGAAATTTTATCGTTTTTTGTCTTAACATCCGTTCATTCATTTTATCAAATTCGCAACAATAATTTTATTTCATTCAAACATAAAATCACGAAATTTTCCCATTGCACTCGTGATACGTGCACTGTGAATAAATTTCTTCCAGATCGTATCGATCGATATTGTTGGAGAGTATATCAAACGTTTCACTCTAGCGATATAACAGCCAGTTCGAGGCAGCTCTAGCGCGTTTGCAAGGAAACTTCAGCCTCGAAATAAACGCATAAATATTGTTCACTGTTAATATTTCTTGCGAGGAGTTTGGAAACGCGAAAATTCGCGCGAGAATTTAGTGCCAAGAAGCGTGGAGCGGAGAAAGAAAAACGCGGAACTGTACGGCCGGCAAACATCATAAAGTTCGCGGATTTGTGGCTCATTTGGGGTTGAAATCGCG